ATGAACTTCTTGATCTTGATCCTCTCGGTGGGTACTAGCTCGGGGATGAGGCGAGCTAGCCGGTGGAATTGTTGGTAGTATTCCGTGATTGGGGCTGCACCTTGTTTTAGGTGGAGGAACTCTTCATATATGGTGGCTCTTAGATGATTGGGGTAGAATTATTCTCGTAGTTGTGTTTTTAGGGTTTCCCAGTTAAATTCATGGTTTTGTTCACATGCGGGTCCCTCGTGGGCCCACCAGGCATCGGCCTCGTGCCTGAAGTAGAAGGAGACTATCCCTACTTGGTGGTTTTCTGGACATTTGGTTGCCCTGAATATCTTGTCGAAAGTCCCGATCCATTCCTCGAGGGTCGTGGGGTCTTCGTTCCCCGAGAAGGTGGGTGGTTGGTGCGCCGAGATCTGGTGGTGAATTTCCAAGTTCTCGTTTGTTGATAAAGGTTGGGGAACGGTAGTACTCAGTGCCTGGGCAATTTGGGCCAGGCGTTGCAGATTCTGAGTCAAGAATTCCTGCATGGGGAGTTCCGGTGTTCCTACCTGTCTTCTTTTCGGTGCCATCCTGGTGTTCATAGGTCGATGTTATTTTGCATTCTTACCTTGATGCAATAAGTGGAGGGGGAGTTTCTTTAAGTTAGAGAGGAATAAAGTGAGGGGGTTATGTGTAGGTTTCACAATCTCACCACGCGTCCTAAGATTCCTGGGTCCTATGTTCCTAAATACCTAGAGTTCAAGCCTAGTGTCCTAAAGTCCGGTCTTAAGAGTCTTATCCTAGGGTCAAACTTAGGCTCTGATACCAACTGTAACACCCCGAAATTTTTAAACTTTTGAAGCTTATATAATAAAGGTAAATTCTCATTAAATCCCAAAACATAATATAAAGAGTACGGGGTGCTATGCCACACCTGAGCTAGAGAATTCAGGTGCACAGGCTAACTAATTAATATCCTCAATAATGTAAGTATATAAGCATGGCACGCAGGCCGAAAGGGAAACTATCTACTTCTACGCTTCAAGACTCTAGCGCGCTCCAGTGTCTACTCCGCTGTGCCTGAAAGCCAAATATATCTGTTCAGCGAGAGATGCTGGTAACCCACTCCAACGCGTTGAAATATAATACATATAGAGATATATATAGATATACGAAAACCATTTTGAACATGAAGATATATCCTACGAACTCTAGCTTTTAAAACAGGGGTAGACTCGACACATAGAGCTAAGCACAAACGGCAGTTATAGCAAGCATATATAGTTCGCAACAGGCAAGGTAGATAAGGCTGAGCATAATCAATAATCATAACCCAACATAAAAATCCCCAACGTAAATCTCGTAGTCACATCCCCAAGATACTCATAATCACAACTCATCCATATCTCATCACATAAGCACACTTTGTTGGCGCCACAGGACCAATCGCATGCCCATACATGAGGGTCAGCGCATATTGCTCTGACACGGCCCCGCAGCACCCTGCCCCGTCTCACAATACGGAGGGGTCGATCGCAACCGACCGATGAACCGCAGCTCATCATAGTTTGATCGCAACCAAACAGTGGACCGCAGCACAAGAGTATGTTATCTTACCGCAGCCAGGAAAATGAACCGCAGCTCATGTAGAACGGTGGACCGCAGCCCTATATAATATTTATATACCTGACCGATCGCAACCGGCCTGGTTAACAGTCAGTATGGTTCTCAACCCATCCGACTGCCCGTATAATCCATTTGATCGCAACCAAACGGTGGACCGCAGCCCTATATAATATTTATATACCTGACCAATCGCAACCGGCCTGGTTAACAGTCAGTATGGTTCTCAACCCATCCAACTGCCCGTATAGCCAATTTGATCGCAACCAAATTGGGGTATCATGCACACATAACACATAGCAAGCACATGCAACCCACATTAACACATTGGGAAGGGGAGAAAACGTATAACAAAACCTATGCGTGATCCTTCACATACTAAGAATAATCCTAAGGGGTTCATACTTCTTTCACCTAGATCAACGGGATACCAATTCAACTAGCATGCAATATATAAGACTCGTACAACCTACGAACGGTACCCGAAATATCAAACTAGACATATGCACGATAGACGGAGTCCGTTGGGACACCACGGGGGTCGGGGGAACATCAAACGGGGAAGCCAAAATCCCGAATTGGGGTGCAAACCAGCGGGTAGCTGGTGGGTGAGGGTTCACCCGCCGGCGGCAACTATTCCGGGCAGCGGGTGCCCGGCGGGCAGCTGCCCGCTGCCGGTGATGCCACTTTTAGCCGCGGGTAGGTGGCGGGTCCCCTACCCCCACCTACCCCCCACTGATTCTTCTTCACAAATAAACGCCCCGGGAACCACCGTGGAACCCGGAACCATGCTTAGACACTTTCAAACGCAATTGATAACACACGTAGACAATTAACGGATCAAAATCAAGAAACATACGACACATAACCTATCATGCTTTCTAAACATAATCAACACCCAAGCATACAAATTCCCACCCAATCTACCAAGAATAATACCATACGAATTCCACGATATAACCTAGGGTTCTAATTATTTTTAAATCAACAAGAACACAATTCATCTTCTAATATCAAGATTTGGTAGGAATATCATATAAACATCAAGAACATCATATAATCATCAAGAACACCAAGAACATCATATAATCATCAAGAACCTCTTATCATCAAGATTACCCATGGAATCATAACACCAATTATCAAGATCATTATAACGAATCATCAACACAGAAGAATATGGGGGAAATCCTAAGAGGGGAATCATAGCTATGAAAATAGATTTTGTTGAGACATGGGTTACCTCTTAGCCTTAATTAATTCCTTGGCTATGAAGGGTCTTTCTTTGAGCTTTCTTCTTTCTTGATTTCTCCTAGGGGAATTCTTGGAATTCTTGGTGTGGTGAGAGATTATTGTGGTGGGAGTTCTAGGTGCCTCCTTATGTTCCCTATTTATATATCTAAGAGTCGTACTTAGGGCCTAATTACTATAGGTTTGGTAACTCTATTCCTTTTAGGACTAAGGATTGGGTTCAGGGATAAGGGCCCATGGACTATGGTGGGCCTCTCCTAATTAATTATTGTGATTTAATTCTTTCTTTTGGGTAATTGGCTAAATGATTAACTGGTTTTAGGAATCGTAACACGGGGTGTTACACTAAGCTAATCCTATCTTAGTATGCCATAATAATATTGCCAAGTATAAGTTGGGGTTTTTTAACAATTAAAACACTAACAGTTGTTTAAGTGTTGAAGTGTTTGAGATTATGTGTGCTTGCCAAATGATTTTCAAAATCTATATTCTATAGTACTTTACACGATTGAGTGGTTTTGTACTTAGCATTAATTTGCTAACAGATTTATTTTCTACTTATTTTTAAACCCTTTTCAAGTGGGCCCAGAGTTTGAGTGTGCACAATTTAGATTAGTGCGTAGATTGAGCTAGTAGATTCTAGTTTAATTTCTACTTGGATGTTTAGATGTTTGGTTGTTAGATACTGATGTTGATCTTTTGTTGTTTGTTGGTTGATGACTTAGACTGATATCTTTTGTTTGGTGCTGGACACCGGGGTTTGTTTCCCAAGTACTAAGGTTATTTTAATGAAGTTTGACTTTGTTTAGTTTATCCTTTTTAGCCTGTGCAGTCACCATGGGTGGTGGGTGTGGTGGTAACACCCGTTGTTGGTTTTAGTTAGTTTAAGTTATTGAATCCTTCTCTTATGCTTGTTTAGCCTATCTTGTTAAGTTAAGTAATTGGGTTTTAGATTAAGAAAAGTGGGGTGTTACAGTTTTCCTCATCATTCGCCGCCTTGTGGCCATTGTTTCAATTTAATGGGGAGCCCAATCTCTAGTGAATAGATGAAAACAAAAATCAATCTGTCTGAAAGTTTGGCTCTGATTTTGTGTTCGTGTGGTGGGTTGATGACTGAAAACAAAAACCCAGTCAGAGCCTTGCCGGCGCACAAATTCTCCGGCAGGTTTCCGCTGAACCTATTGTCGAAAATCTCAAAAGCTTCGCGCCCGGAATGAAGTCCCATTTCAGGAGGCAAAGTCCCGCTCAAATTATTCGTGAAAACCCTAATATTTATTCGATTGTTCTACGAGGCTCCCTTTGGTTACACTGTAGAGGACGTTCGACCAAACAGAGGAATCAAGAAATTCAGATATGCTGCGTACTCCAACGTCAGTTTTTACTTAAATGTTCTTCATTGTTTCCGTTGAATCAAGAAATTTATTGTTTACTTAAATTCAGATCTGCCTTGTCAACCTCTACAATTGGATTTGAAGGCTATGAAAAGAGGCTTGAAATCTCATTCTTTGGACAAAGTTGTTAAACTAGCTGAGTGCACTATTGTCTCATCGGAGCAGCCCATCGCCGCCGAGCACCTCATCGAAAACTCTACAAAACCCAACGTCGAAACCACCCAACTGCTTCGACGTCGAATTGTTTCGATTTTTTTATTTTTATTTCTGAATGTTTTGTTTTGTCAAAAGACATATCTACCCCTACTTTAAATGGCTGAGACGGAATGAACTAACGGGAGGATGACAGCAAGTCAGATTTCGCAACTCGGAGGACCACGGCGGGTAATTACAAAGTTAGGAACTATAGGTGGCGAAACTACCAAACTCGAGGGACCTTGGCTGGTATTTACTTATAAAATAATAAAATAATTATGTTCCAACTTCCAAAATCCAAACATGTATCTAGACTCTAGACACAATATATCGTGATATTAGTATAAGGAATGGAGCATATGCCAAAGTCAAATTTTACATTTTGTACCCGAGTACCTGCTACTCATTGTGTGAAAATTTCCAAAATATATAGCATGCATAGTAATGCAAACTTTATTAATTTGCACAACAAAAAACATATGGCATGTGTTTTCAAAAAAAAAAAAACATATCTCATGTTAATTTTTGGAGAGAAAATGGATAAGGACCCAGTGGCTATGACATTTGGGCTGTGTTAGACTATTATTACTGGGCTTCTCCATCTCCGATTCATGGAATAATCGGGACGGCATAATACGATAGCTTTTATTGCGGTGAAAACGAAGTGCAAGGCGGAGAACGGTGGTGGCAATGGGCGGCCTGAAAGCGGTGGCTATCATCTCCGGCGACCATAACGTCAAAGGCTCTCTACAATTCATCCAGCAATCCGATGGTGTCTTTTCTCTACGCTTCTCTCACTCTCGTACTGTCGGGTCTCTGATGTTATTGTCCTTAAATTCAGTTATTATGTTCTTGTTGGTGTGTGTAACAGGGGCAACCTACGTGAGAGGAAAAATATCAGGGCTCAATCCGGGGCTTCACGGTTTCCATATTCATTCTTTCGGTGACACCACCAACGGCTGCAATTCCACTGGTCAGTGTTCACCCAATTTCCCTTTTCCTAAAACTAGTTTCTTCAAGAAATTTCACGCCAGTCTCTTACCTTTCACCATTTGATTGTCAAATTTTCTTTGAGTGAGTGACTAGGGAAACCCGCGTGTGCATTGGTAACCCGTTTTGTGACTTTAGCCGACAAAGGACAACAAAGAAGTAAATCAATCTAAGAGTGTGTTTGGTTCGCACATAGGAATCGGAACTGGAATGAGTATCAAATACTTGTAATGGTAATGGGTTTTGGTGAAAGTATTTAACATTTTTGGTAGTAGGATGGGATGAGAATGATTACTAATAGAAGTGTTTGAGAATGAATAAGGGAATGAAATCTTTATTTTATTTGGGTATGAGTTTTTCAATTGATGGGGTATTCGAAACCCATAGTATTGTTCTAAAAACCTATCAACCAAACAATAACAATCACTTTCATACCCATTCCTATGGACAAAACCCATCAACCAAACACACCCTAAGTTGTCCTTAGCTTACTGCTCAAACCAAGAAGGCCAATAAGCTGCACTCATTTGACCTGCTGCTCAAAACAAGAAGGTCAATAGGTTGCTCTTACAGGAAGTCGAACTTGTAATCTTGCTCAAATCAAGAAGGCCAGTAGGCTGCTCTCATGGGAGTCGATCTTGTAATCTTGTTGATACTAGTTGATACTAAGTCAACAGCCTGACAAACTTAGCTGGGGTTGTCCCAATTGTCAATTTTTCTTTTGCTCAACAGATTCTGTGTAGATGTTTGAAGTATACTTGTGAACATACTACAAAGTAGTTCATTTGCTTTCATTTTTAGTTGCATATGTTTATGCAAGTGTTTAATGAAAACTTAGGTTATTGAATTGGTAGGGTTGATGGATATATGTATTCTTTTGTGGATATTCAGGACCTCACTTTAATCCCTTTAAGAAGGATCATGGAGCTCCAAATCATGAAGAGCGGCATGCTGGTGATTTAGGCAACATTGTTGCTGGCCCTGATGGTATGTTGAGATTGATTGTTCTGAAATCCGAATGGTTCTATACTTCGATAGTTTGATTGATGTGATTTTGAAAGTGGATTGGATCGATTGTTTCTCTAGTGAATTTACTGTGCTTTCTTGACATTGCAGGGGTTGCTGAGGTTTCAGTTCTGGATATGCAGGTAAAAGGATAAAGTTTGCATTAGCATCTTGGTTCATGAGATGATGAGAATGTAGTAGTTGCCTTCATTTTCACCCGACTTGCTAGAGAGATACCAATGTGGATTTTTTTAATATGGAATTGGAATGCTGCCTAAAAACATAGCATCTACCTTTGTTTTCGGTTTATAGATTCCTCTAACGGGTGCGAACTCTATTTTGGGAAGAGCGGTAGTTGTTCATGCTGATCCTGATGATCTAGGAAGAGGTATGGTTCTTGAATGTGGTTGATGTGCATGTTTTCAGTGGTTCCTTTACTTGGAGTTGGATTCCTTCTTACATTTTACCTTGAGAAAATTGTAATTTATGCCTTCAAGTATAGCCAATTATAAATGTCACCCCTCAATTTTAAATGGTATAAATGTTGCTCCTAAATTGTCCAAATGTGGTGATATAAATATATTGCCCCAATATTTTGTAATCTATGCTATATGGGGACAATATGTGGCTACATTTTGACAATTCAGGGGCAATATTTATACCGCTTAGAATTGATGGATAACATTTATTATTGGTCTATACTTAGGGCTGAGGGGCGTAATCACAATTTTCCCTTTTACCTAAATTTCACTGAATTAATCTCAAGTTGCAATGCGTCTATGTCCAACGTGGGTGAACACCATTTTATGAATTAGTTACGTATACTAAGAGCATCCGTTATAGCCCTTCGAAAGTTGCTTTAGGGACCTTTGGACCAATGGGTCTTTGAAGGTCTCTAGAATTGCGGGGAGCTTGCATTCAAAAAATGTTTTTGAAATACTATCCTTTCTTGGAACTGACTAATCATAGCAAGCTTTTCTTCAGGTGGACATGAGCTTAGTAAGACAACTGGGAACGCAGGTGCAAGAGTTGGCTGTGGTAATCTCATCCCCTTCTTTTTTCCCATCTACTGTTATTTGGTGTAGTATATTTGGTGTTATATGCGTAGTGTTATCTTACAGGGATTATTGGGCTTCAGTCATCTGTTTAGAGATTTCAGTTTCTTTTCCTGCTGAAGAACAGTATTGCAAGTTACAATGTACTGTTTTTTTCTTTTCCTGTACCAAATGATTATCAAAGTATACAGGATTCATCGATTCAGTCACATTCGTATTGTTGTTCAATGCTAGTAGTTGAGAAATAAAGTTCTCCTTGGATGAAATATGGCATGGAATATTATGCAGTGCACAAAAATATATCTAAAATGCCAGACACAAAAGAAGCTTGCAAAAGATTGATCCCAACACTAAAATTTTAGAGATAAGTGTGTTTTAATACATGGAGTTTTGAAATACAAAGCACCAAAGTGTCCTTTGACTTTTGCCCTTTTCTCTGAGGAAATAAGATCTCCATGGTTGTTTATGGTCATGATCCGTACACAGACCAACAAAATCATCGCCTTTTAAGTCCCGGTCTTGCATTTCAGGACAGAAACATGTACTTTTAGCCTCTCAACCAAGTGTTCCGATATGATGAGTTGTCACGCAGAGAAGCGTCGTGAGGCTTGTATTCCATGACATAGCCACTAGGTAGCTTCAAGTGCCGCTTGATTGAGTCTCTGAGTGCCATTACAGCCTGGGGAATACAAAGTAATATCACCACATTAAGATACTTGCATTGTATAAGTAAATGGGATTGACTGAAAGTGACGGGCAAATAAACCTGATGGTCTGATGCATTGCGGTTCCACACACTTAATATATCCTCATTGAATCGAACGCTTAGGACTGCACCGCATATGTTGTCACCATAATCAAGTTGATCGCCCACCAATGCCAGAACCTTCAAAGAATTCCAAAAAGCTAGGGTCACCAAACTTCTTTTACGGGTTTGCAAGAAAACCATACAACTATATGGTGCATGCATTAGCAACGAAAAAAATTTACTCTGTAAAATAGAATCCAAAATGTGACTATCCCTTACCAAGTCCTCCCAAAAGCGACCAGATACAGCTTTTTTGAATCGAATTATCCACTTGCCACCATTACAATTGGCAGCATCCTACATAAATATGATATTTATAATCATCAATAAGAAGAAACTGTAATTGATACATTACAAGAACACTCAAAGGAAAATAATGACCAACAAGTGCATCAAAGGTTTACCTCCCACAAAGGACGAATTCCCTCTTTGAAAAGATGCAAATCAGTTGGGCATGGCAATGTTGAGGGACGAGCCAAATGGCAGTAGCAGACCCAAAAACCTTCAACCTATAAGCAAAAAAATCAGTTAACGCAAATAAAGGGCCCAACTTGGACTGTAAAATCTTCTGTTTCTCTTTTCCATTTTTGTAGTTTTTTTTTTTTTCAAGTATGAACTCATTATTGATTTCATCAGAACAATCAAGATAACATATTCAGCAAGAAAATGACAACAAATGAAATGACTTACTGTACTGAAATCCATTATTTTCTTTATGTTGTCCTCATATGATGTTTGTGTGCGAAGTCCTGGAGTCCGGCGAGTATACCAAAACACATATTTGTTCTGGACAACCAATGAAAGCAAGATGAACAACAATAAGCCTAGAGGAAATACAATGGCTATAAGGACACAAAAGATAATTATTAAATGCAATCAGCAATCACAGACATAAAAGATCATATATGGTAAATGCAATTTTCTTTTAAAATTTGGAACTATGTCATTTGGGTTGGATTAAAAAAATACAAGGCCATTCTTCTCTAACTCTTTAAGAGGACATGAAAGTTCATTCACTGCTCATAATCACCCCTAACCTATCCACTATAGCTCCAAGAACTAAGGCACATCATTAAATTCTGTATTTCTGTAAACAAGTATACAAGTCAATGTTCTATTCACGATTGCCTTTGACCAGTTAAGGAATATCAACTTATTAAAAATCAAGACAACCAGGTAGCCAGAGTTTCTATAACACTAGCTATATAACCCTAACAAAATACCCAATAGCTCTTCGTATCCTCCACTATTTTACATTATCAAGCCAAAACAACAGCACTATGATATTCAATTCACTCAATTAACAATAACTATAAGTTAACTAAGTCTGTATCTAGCCCTAATAATACCGCGGTCTCACAACAAAAGTTCAACGAAATCATACTAATCCAAAACAGTATCTTTTTTTTTTTTTTTTTGAAAACAAATCCAAAACAGTATCTAGTTCTGAGGATTTGCGTTAGAAACAAATTTTCCGTAAACAAGAAAGACGCGATACCAATACTACAGATTCTGTTCGGAAACGTCGTAATGACAATCAATTGGAGCCAAAATCGAAATATTCACACACAAAATGAAACGCGGAAGAGCATAGGAGGATTTAAGAAAGAAGATGAGGACCTTGAGAGGATGAAGGCCGGCTTTGAGATCTTGGGCGATGCGCTCGCGATCTTCGGCTTCTCTCTCCGTCAGAGAGGTCGGCGGCTGAGTGTTGTCGACGGTTCTGCTCTCAGTTTCTTTCTTCTCTGCTATCGCTTCTTCCATTAGGCTATCTCAGTTATGGAGGACTTCAAGCCCTAGCTGTGTTCTCTTTCAGCGGATGATGTTCCGAAATGGCGAGGCGAGAAAGACGAATTGGGCTTCGAACGGGAGATTATATACGGTACCAGTTCGGGATTTATTTGAGAAAATGATAAATCTACAATCTACAATTTAAAATATTTAAAATAAAATAAAAAAGGAACGCGTTTAGGTCAGTTTTTTTTTTTTTTTTTTTTTTTTTTTTTAGTCTTTGTATTGTTTTTTATCAATTATCAATTAAAAAAAAAACATATTTTTCCATAAAAAAAAAAAAAACATATTTATGCACTTATTTTTTGCATTCATTTTTCAATTTAAATTTGTTGGTATTATGACATTATACAAATAATCATAGATTTGTTGTAAATTTGATAGTATATTCCTGTGGATGCTGTATGATTCGATCGGAATAGAGCAATAAACATGTAAAATAAAGAGAAAAAAATAGAGGAAAGAAGAATAGATTGAACTCAGAAAATCCTAGCCCATAATTTTTATTAGATAACGGATGATATATTTTTTAAAATAAAGAAGCTAATTCATTAATCATATGTTGAAACATTTACAATAAAGATCAATTGATTGGTCAAACATTCTTTACAGTCAGACATAGAAACAACTTCCTTAGCAATGCTATAGAAAACTTGATTCGCAGACTGTTTCGTAAATTTGAAGCTGAATTCTTTGATGAATTTAAAGCTTCTTTAATGATTTGGCCAAACATACCTAAGACTGACACTGGCTGAATAGTCTTGCACACCACCTGAGTATCTATTTTCATTCTTCTATCCATTAACAATATCTCCATCAAACTGAACTGCATATCATAGTTCATAGGAGTCTCTTTTTCATTGTCATGTTTGTTACCTAGGATGAGATTCACATACGTCATGACCAGTTTTATCGTTTCACGCTTTATGAAAAAGAACTCGCCAAGTAAACGAGAGGAAACTCATCAAAACAACGAGAGGAAAAACACATAAACTGCAAACAAAATTAAACCAGTAAAACAAAGCAAAGGGAAACAATAGTATGAAAATAAGGGAGTAACGACCTGTAGCTTTGGAGATGGAGAAGAAAACGGTGAAGGCAGAAACGACAATGAAGGCGAACGCTGTCTGCGATGGAGATGGTAGCAGGGGAAGACGATCGATCGTCGCCTCCGATCCGCTTGCTTCACGGAGGCGGCGCCCATGTAGAATACCAGAGACGAGAGAACTGTAGGAAACCTAGGGTTTTTATCTTTTGGATTTTTTATTATTTATAACGGATGATATATATACATATATAATAAAAACATAAAATTATATCTAATCATGGAAGAGTAAAACTAGGGTAATGGCCACATAAATAGATATATTTACAATGTAACATTCTCCCTTGCCATTACCTCACTATACTCATGTCTTGTTAAAAACTTGCTAGAAAAACCTTGTGGGAAAACCTAGTCAAGGAAAAGAGTACATGATATATGTATGTTCATGTGCTGCACTAGCTGCCTCGTTACAAAAAATTTATTTAAAAAAATAATATCAAAACTCAATCAAATGAAAAAGAGTACAATTGTTGATCTTGAGGACCAATCTTCAAGATTGATTCAAGTCCAATCATGGATTGATTCAAGTTCAATCTTCAGGATTGATTTAAATAAATGTCACTCCCCCTGAAGATACCAATCTTAAAAATCTACATGTTCTAATATAAAAACAATTCTCAAAAGTACGTGCAGAGAAATGATATGGTACAATCTTCAAGATTGTCTCTAGAGTGAACATTTTGTATAATAATCTCGTAAGTCTTCTAGATTTCATATAGGTTGAATTTTGACACTATATATACTTTGTCAAATATTTATAAACATACTCATTTTTCATTTGTGCAACACCAGCTTTATCGTTCTCATATAGGACATTGGGGGGTAAAAACATAGCATAACCAGTTTGGGACTCGACATCATGTGAATCAAACATAATAGCCAATACCCAAGTAGTCCATCAAAAATCATATCTTGGTTTCTCACATAAATGCCAAATCTTTGTATCTCGAAAATACCAGAGGATATGTTAAGTCCTATTCCAATATTTCATTATAGGAGGAGCGCTAAATGCTGCTAGCAATTTCATCGCAAAAATCGGGCATGTTGCAATTATAAAACTTCTAGTCCTAAAGTGATGCTCTAACGACAAATGAAATAATGGAAATTTGGTCATAAGGTATCCTCATTATCCTCTTCGATTCTAAAAGGTTTCTTTTATACTTCAGGAGATTGGACAATTGTTAGTGTGATAAGTAAATGATACCTATCAATATAAAATATCTTCAAGACATTTTTCAATGTAGGCTAATTGGTTTGTAACATTCCTTCAAGGAGATACTCGATCTGTAGGTTGAGACAATACTTGGTTTCCCAAGTCTTTCATTTCAAAAAGAGTAAATACCCAAAATGGTCCCTTGACTATAGCTAAATTCACAAATTGGTCCTCAACTTTCAATTTCACCCAATTAAGTCCTTAACTTTGTAATTTTAACACAATATGGTCCTCTGTCTATTTGACCGTTTGTTGACTGTGATTTTTGAGGATATATATGTAATTTCATGATCCATCGTCGATTTTTTAAGGTTCCGGTTGCATTTTCAGACCGCACTGTTACATTTGAATCCACTATCGAAAGCAATCTACCAAACCCGGTCACCTTCTTCATCCTCCCTTTGGATTCAATGTAGTTGAATTCGTACCAGAGCGAAGAAGACGACGTGTTTCCGAACCGGTGCAACGTTATCCTGGAGGCCTCCACGTGCTCCGACGAGAGCTGAAGGTTCTTCTGGAGATCTTCGATCATGGTCAACAAACGGTCAATTAGATGGAGGACCAAATCGTGTCAAAATTGCAAAGTTAAGGACTTAATTGGGTGAAATTGAAAGTTGAGGACCAATTTGTGAATTTAGCTATAGTCGAGGGACCATTTTGGGTATTTACTCTTTCAAAAACTCTGTCTTTAGGCATGAACTAATATCATTAAGCTCTTTACGTATTTCAATCGTATTTATACCATCCATATGGACTAAGATAATAGATAAATAACTACATTATCAACTCCTTAATGAGCACATAATGGCACATATTATCTACATATTCCTTTTCAAGAGGAAAAACACTACAACTCGTTTGGTTCGCTAGAAAATATTTGAAGGGAAATGGAATTGAAATTTCATGGAAAATAAATTCCAAGAAAATAGATTCCATTGTTTGGTTGGTGGAAAAGAAATTGCTGGGAATATTCCTTCAAGGAGATACTCGATCTGTAGGTTGAGACAATACTTGGTTTCCCAAGTCTTTCATTTCAAAAACTCTGTCTTTAGGCATGAACTAATATCATTAAGCTCTTTACGTATTTCAATCGTATTTATACCATCCATATGGACTAAGATAATAGATAAATAACTACATTATCAACTCCTTAATGAGCACATAATGGCACATATTATCTACATATTCCTTTTCAAGAGGAAAAACACTACAACTCGTTTGGTTCGCTAGAAAATATTTGAAGGGAAATAGAATTGAAATTTCATGGAAAATAAATTCCAAGAAAATAGATTCCATTGTTTGGTTGGTGGAAAAGAAATTGCTGGGAATATGAATTCCATTGTTTGGTTGAGTTTGGAATGGTAAAGAATAATGAGTATGATGACAAATATAACCCTACACAACAATAATAATATAATAGTAATAATAAGTGTAATTTTCTCAAAATAATAAGTGTAATTAATAAAGAATGGTGAGGGTAAAATTGTCATATTAGTTTTCCATGGAAAACAAAATACCTAGAATGAGTTAGGAATTGGTTTTCCTCATTCTTAAGGAAACCATTTTCCAATGGAAAATGGTTTCCATAAACAACCAAACACCAGTCAATTATTTACTTTTCAAGTCATATAAAGACCTTTAATTTTTCCTCAAAAAAAAAAAAAAAACTTTAGTTTGTAATTTAATAATATACATGTTGCGATTTTCATTTTTCTCATTTTGAGAGCTTTAAATCCTTCAGGGACTTTTCAAAAAATAAATATTAGCTGCATATCTAAAATTGTTATTTACTGTCAATGATATTAAGCAACGGAACTTAATGTCATCTACAGCGGGAGAATATATTTTACTAAAATCAATTATGGATTTCTGTATGAACCCTTGGGCTACAAACTCACTTTATATTATATCATCTCATTATTCTTATTTTTCTTTCGTATAGACACTCATTCGTAACCTGGGGTTAACATTCAATGGTGTACGTATTATAAAGAGAATATATCAATTTTAGCAAGTTGAGCTATGCCTTAATTGCTCCTTTATATATTAAATAGTCATGGCACTTCTGGTGCCTAACTCTGGATCCAGATTATCATATAACGGAGCAATTTGTAAAGGCAATTGTGTTGTCAACAACTATAATATTTTCATAAATTTCTCCCATATTTATAATAGTTCATAGCAATACTTAAGTCAACCAGATTCTAGACATTTTCCTAAGATATTCAGATCTTATCGTTCCGCATCCCAGTATTATAATTATTTTGTATACCTATAAGTTTATTGTGGGTTTTTACCTTCTGGGTGAACGTTTTCAAGACATAATCCTCTAACATATTTTTAAGAGTGACAAAGTTTCTTTACTATAGATATACTATTATGATTCTTATATCTTAAACTGATAGATCTTCTACACTTCTGGCATCAAAGAGTATCAGTATATATAGTTGGTCCAAGTTGGGGAAGGTACATGGGACCTAGTCGCTCTTTTATGATCAGTATGATCAATATGATCAATATATATATATATATATATATATATATATATATATATATATATATATATATATTGGTAGGGAATATCCCAACCGACATTATTTTACCCCGGCTGGTATGCCTTTGTCTTTTTCTTCTTGTCTTTGCAGGTAACAGATCGGGCTTCTTGTGAGGAACCCGGTCGGGATCCGACCGGGAGTTGCCCGAGCGATAGTGTCGACCACCGAGCGGTAGCCCTTTGGCGCG